GAGAGTCGAACTCACAACCTCTGGGTTACATGCCCAACGCTCTGCCAATGGGCTTATATCACAAAAAATTTTTATTTCATAATTCGATAGAACTCACCCAAACTAGCTCACCACCGCAAACCGTTTCTTGCTGTGAGCTCCCTACGTTTGATAAAAAATTATTGAAATCCCCGATTTTATGGAACTCTGAAAACGAGGCGATGATGTGACGTCAAAACCCTAGTACTGAAACAGGACTATTCCAGACAGAGATGAATGATAAATGATTTCTGGCAGAGTGAATTAGCGCGAAATCACAGTTGAAAGAATTAATATATCAGTTGCCTCAGTCTCCGTCCGGCGTATGGTATTTTCTTTTAACTATGGCGAGATGAGGTTTCTACGTCATAAGAGGGTCCGTTTTCAGATGGTACTATTATTTATGTCCAAAAATTGAACATTCCAGTAAATTTTTCGATCGAATTATGTCGTCAATCATTATTTATGTATGAAAGGATCATTATAAACATGGTTTGAGTTGAACGTTCTACCAAGGTGTACACGCCCATTGAGCCAACGGGTCGTCCGTTGATCAATCGGCAGGGAGGTCGAGTTCTCATCACACACCAGGCGGCAGAATCCTTCCAACTCCCAAAGTCACTCGAAATCATGCACTATACGAAGCATCGCTGGCAGGATGGTACTATACAGTCTCCATATTTCCCCGTTCGTCCTCTGGCATTGTCTTTCCTTGTATACGGAAATGTCCGCAAGCAATCTATACATAGAGTGAGTTTTTTCATTCTCCGTTGTCACTCGAAATTAGGGCTTTCATCACCTTCATTATTATACAGGGTGTTTCATTGGGAAAGGTAAATAATTCAACTGTGGATAGGGGTCACTAGGGTGATTTAAAAAAAACCAATGGTTAATGGGTCTTTGACTTCTTATAACCGAGATACAGGATGTTTCATCAATTTTGTCCATATCTTCATTGTCTCATAACTTTCCAACCAACCTGTATATATTTTTAAAAATTGGTACACTTGCTCAATCTACCCTGTGGAATTGATTTAGGCAACGATAGAAGATAAAATCCAGGTCCGGCTTCTCTTAAAATTCACAAATACTATCTGCCAGAAAACAACACCCTATACATTCGAATTTCTCATTTTTTTTGCAATATCTGAAAAGAACATCAAAATGTCTATTCAACGATGTGCTTTTTATTCGTTCACAGACCATTTCAACTATTCATATTATGTGGTCAAAATATTATTTTTGCTCATTTTGGGATACAAAATTGGAATCAGACGAGATTTATTAATTTTATTACTTCCTATGCAGTATACGTGAGTATTACATTTAGAAGGAGTATTTTATATCGTTCTTTGTTCCAGACTTAGTTGCAAGGTCCGTCATCAAAACTATACAGGGCTTTTCACGATAAGCGTTAATTTGACGTTTTCGCCAAACCAGGCAACGGATAAATCTGAAATTTCGATGGTATGTATAAACCAACATAATCTACACGTCTGAAATATTTGAAACAATCCGGCGTTGCCGCTTCTACTCGAAAGTAGCAGTAACTTTGATTTTTCAAATGGGACACCCTGGATGCTTCCTGAAGAGCTGATTTAATCGATTCACAAAGTTCGGGGTCTAGTGGGACTAATAACTGAGATATTTAGAGTGAGAAAAATCGAATTTTCCAACTTAAGAAATGTTTTGTGTTGAAACTATTTATTATTGCATGGCCAAAACGGCTTCAATGTCCCTATCTCAACTTTCCATTCGATATTCAATTGAAACAGATACAGGGTGGTGCAGAAATCTGAATTATGAACCATCCTGTATTTGTTTCGATTAAATGTCAATAGATACAAAGTTAAGATAGGGACATAAAAGCCGTTTTGATCAATAATAAATATTTTCGCAAAATAATTCTAAAGTTGAAACATCTCGATTTTTCTCACTCTAAATATCTCAGTTATTAGTCCCACTAGACCCCAAACTTTGTGAAACGATTAAATCAGCTCTTCAGGAAGCATCCAGGGTGTCCTATTTGAAAAATCAAAGTTACTGTTACTTTCGAGTAGAAGCGGCAACGCCGCATTGTTTGAAATATTTCAGAAGTGTAGATCATGTTAATTTATACATACCTTCGAATTTTTAGATTTATCCGTTGCCTGGTTTGCCAGAAACATCTAATTAACGCTTATCGTGAAAAGCCCTGTATAGTTTTGATGACGGACCTTGCAACTAAGTCTGGAACAAAGAACGATATAAAATACTCCTTCTAAATGTAATACTCACGTATACTGAATAGGAAGTAATAAAATTAATAAATCTCGTCTGATTCCAATTTTGTACCCCAAAATGAGCAAAAATAATATTTTGACCACATAATATGAATAAATGAAATGGTCTGTGAACGAATGAAAGGCACATCGTTGAATAGAAATTTTGATGTTCTTTTCAGATATTGCAAAAAAAAATGAGAAATTCGAATGTATAGGGTGTTGTTTTCTGGCAGATAGAATTTGTGAATTTTAAGAGAAGCCGGACCTGGATTTTATCTTCTATCGTTGCCTAAATCAATTCCACAGGGTAGATTGAGCAAGTGTACCAATTTTCAAAAATATATACAGGTTGGTTGGAAAGTTATGAGACAATGAAGATATGGACAAAATTGATGAAACATCCTGTATCTCGGTTATAAGAAGTCAAAGACCCATTAACCATGGGTTTTTTTAAATCACCCTAGTGGCCCCTATCCACAGTTGAATTATTTACCTTTCCCAATGAAACACCCTGTATAATGATGAAGGTGATGAAAGCCCTAATTTCGAGTGACAACGGAAAATGAAAAAACTCACTCTATGTATAGATTGCTTGCGGACATTTCCGTATGCAAGGAAAGACAATGCCAGAGGACGAACGGGGAAATATGGAGACTGTATAGTACAATCCTGCCAGCGATGCTTCGTATAGTGCATGATTTCGAGTGACTTTGGGAGTTGGAAGGATTCTGCCGCCTGGTGTGTGATGAGAACTCGACCTCCCTGCCGATTGATCGACGGACGACCCGTTGGCTCAATTGGCAGAGCGTTGGGCATGTAACCCAGAGGTTGTGAATTCGACTCTCACGCGGGGCGGTGGAGTTTTTTCATTTTCCGTTGTCACTCGAAATTAGGGCTTTCATCACCTTCATTATTATATTATTATGTATCTTTTCGGTCGAGTAACCGACAAAAATTATCACTCATTTCTATGTATAAATATATTTTTGTTTGATGAATCAATGAAAGTATAGTAGGAAGAGCACAAAGGAGCCGAAAAATACTTCATAAATTTCACATTCACGTTCATCATGGATGAAAGCCTTTTCAAAAGCAGAGGAATATTCGACCACATGTTCCGTTTTGAATAAAGTTATTCAATTAGTATTATTTATAGTAAAAAATTTCAAATGAAACATGGTCGAGGGACCTCTCATTGTGAAGGCTTCCGTAGATCTTCATGTTCAATAGTGTTTCTTTCCTTAATGCCGATTGTTTTTAGATTATAGACAGGTTAACGCTTGACACCTACAGACTGATATCGGTGTTTTGGCCCTCATCAGGCTAGGGTGATAACGTTGGCGGTCTCACGACCGCTAGCTGGTGATTACCCTACACTGATGAGGCCGAAAAACTCGAAACCGGCCTGTAAATGTCAAGTTTTAACCTGGCTAAAATCTAAAATCAATCGGCATTAAGGAAAGAAACACTTGCATCAGTATTCGTTTATATGAATGAATGCATAGATTTCGGAAGGATGTCTTGTCCTGCGTGGCATTCGCCGGAAAAGTAGTTGTTATTCTTCCGTCATCCACCTTTGTTGTTTTTTTTTTAAAAATTTATTTCACTTGATTATTTGGTATTTTCTCTCCTCGTTTCTATAAAATGAAAATATGAGTATTATTTAAATAATGTTCAGCAGGACAAATCAGATGACTTGCCCTAAAATGTAACTGCGTTCTACACTTTGTTTGGAAAAATATTTGAAGAAAGGAAATATAGATATATTGAAAAAATATCGAATTTTTACTTATCTTTAGACTTTTCGTGAACTAATTTGTTCCCGTTCTCAACATAAAAATGCAATATATTTTTCTTTCTACCATTTTCATGTTCAGTTTTCACTAGTGGATACAATGTTCTATATATCAACTGAACAGAAAACAATGCTATTGTCTCCGTTCAAAAGAATGCAAGCGGATTCCTGGATTTTCCTCTTTTGGTTGTTATCTTGCCAATGCCAATATCATGTCACTGAAAGGTGGCAAACTAAAAAAACAGAATTCTCGAAGAAAAATACATTGCATTTTTATGTTGGGAACGGGAGCAGATTCGTTCCTGAAACGTCCAAAGATAAGTAAAGATTCGATATTTTCTCAATATATCTATATTTCTTCTCTTGAAACATTTTTCAAAAACAAAGTGTAACTGACAAGCTATTAGATTTTTCTTTTAGGCTCCCTGATAGACAAATTTGTTAAACGCTGTGACATTTTGGGGCAAATCATCTGATTTGTCCTACTGGAATTGGAATAGACCCCAAGTGTGATATTTTGATGGAATCAGCTCTTCAGGAAGAATATAAAAATACAATGAAATACAGGGTGTTCCATTTGAAAAAATCAAGTAGTACTCTTTAGTTCGTTTGTTCCGAGCACCCTGTATTTTCTGATGCAACGGAAAAAAAATTCTGAAAAATCATTTTAGATCATTTTTCGAATTTTTAAGTCGGTTCAAAAATGAGTGAGCTAAAGGGGGGGACATTTATGGTGAATCACCCTGTACCACATGCTTGATTAACCTACAGACAGTATTATAAACGTTTGTTGAAATGACAGAGTTTTTCTTTCTCATCGCCATTTCTTAGTTAAATCAAAGCTTCATAGAGCGTCAAGATAAGCTCTGTCTAACTGAAGTCTGAATTTCTTCGATAATCGTTTCATTTTGATTATATTTCAGGTCTTTGATGACTCATTCATCGGTACCAGAGGAACAACGTGCCAAACTGGGAATCACTGATAACCTAGTCAGATTGTCTGTGGGCTTGGAAGATGTGGAAGATCTTATCAGCGATTTGGAGCAGGCCTTCAGCAAAATATGAAATTCAGAGATGATACGATGTTAGGCCAATTTCAAAAAATAAAACATGAAAATATATTATTTATTTTTTGAGTTTACATTCCTTGTTTCTTGGAAAAATACAACCTTGTCAAAGACACTGAAAAATATATTATTATTGTATTGAATAAATACTGTTTAATTATTTTTCGTTTTTTTACTTCCATCCAGCAAATGTCTAGAACATTGTTTCTCATAAAAGTGTGGGGGTGGTTTCCTGTCATATTTGTTATATTTTTTCTTGAATAGGTCCTATCAAAATAGTTTGAAGGAACTTAAAACCATTGGAGTGGGGCAAAAAATAGTAGGGGCCGAACTCATCATGCCCAATAGGATTTTTGGGGTTATCTCTCGTCTTTCAATTAAAATATCTGAATTCTTCAATATATGTGTAGTGAGGACGAATCTTGAAAGTAAAAATTGTATCGATAGTCATCGACAACTTGTTGAAAAATGGTTGAAGAGGAATAATAAAATATATTTTCCTCGACCGCTACAAAAAATTCCAATTTACGTTCTACTTTCCGGACTAAAAACCGACAATTTCCGAAGGCAAGTACTTTTCGTCCGCAAACAATTGTCGTCCACTGCATGGTTACCAGTTTTACTTAATTTTCAGTAGATCTCTTGATTTGCATATTGATCTACTGAAACATGTCATAATCTACTGAAAAATATGTTGACACTTATTTGTTATTATAATTACCTATATTATTATTAATAGGTATTTAGTTGATCATATACACTTATAAATTGCATGATATTTCGGCACGCTTTGTTTGAATTAATTTTACAAAATAAGTAATAAATGTATGATTCAGATCAAATTCATTTTTTTATATTCTTCTGTTATAACATCTTTTTTTCTCAAGTTGAATTTTTCAATTTGTTTTGTATTTTTATTGTTCATTTTGACTGTTCGTTCCGGTTTTTCATATTCTCATATCTTATAAGTACCCATCTAACTGTATTTAGGGATATTTGTGAATATATCTGAATTGAGAATTAAGAATATGATTATTTTTGTATTAAAATGTTTGTTTTGTATGTTTCTATTTTGTTGGAAATTGGTTACTTTTCTGTTTACTAAAAGTACACATTGTTTTGACGTAATAGGTTCATTATTCGCTATTGCATTATTGTTTGGGGTGGGACTTTTCGAACTTCCCTTCACTGCTTAGAAGTTACACAGAATACTCTACTGAAAATACTGTTCAATAAAAACAGAAGATTTGGAACTGAGCAACTTTATAATGAAATAGGAATAATAAATCTAAAGCAGCTGTATTGCCACCAATGCCTCATCTGGACAAAAAACTCTATATTCTCTCCTACATTACATTATCATCATACTCGAAGAACAGCAAGGCAAGAAATTCCAATTCCCTTGTTTAAAACCACAATCACACAAAAATTTGTAACCTATTATGGTCCCAAACTTTTCAATCTACTACCCTCTGATATTAGAAATATACAAAATAAAAATAAATTCAAAAAGCAAGCCAAAATCTTTGTTCAAATGTATTATAAGGATATCCTGAAATCAGTTCTCGAATAATTATTAATTATTCTTACAATATATTGCAATTACCAGTGATATTCTCTTTTCGTTTCTTCTTTTCTTTATAACACTCATAGGAATGATTGATTGTTATTCATTTTAATCTGCTAGTAGATATTTCTTTTTTTTTTGTTAGTAATTTGACATAATGATGAGACAATGGCCCACAATACAAGCTTAGCTCAGGTGGCTTCTCTCATCAAAAATTATTGTTAAAATCTAATTGAATAAACTTACTCACTTACTTACTTACTTACTTACTATCCTTTCTTGGAATTCGTGAAGCATAAAATATATCTTAAACAGATCTATTGAATTCTACTGAATTTATGACAATGTATTTATACATATCGATATATATTGATACATATCGATATATCGATACTAAAGCATATATCGATATCAATATCCAGTTTTCAATATCACACAGCACTTGTCTAATCTCTAAAGGAATATACGTGTGCTTTCTTCCAATCAACCTTAACTAAGAAATAACAAAATTCAAAGAAGAACGAGAAAAACATATTATGTAGTGCACATTTTGATACGTCTTTTGAATTTGAGGTATCAGCACCAACTTTAGTTTTTCAAATGTAGGTCATAGCTCACTATGACTTAGTTACAAATAACTTCATTTTATCTTACAGATATGTCGCAGTAATAGTTTTGTGTTGATAACAACGGAGTTATCGTCATTTATACAAAAACAAAAAATTATTTGGAAGCCGCCATCTTGAATTTATAAATTTCAACAAAAGGATCATGATCTCCGACCTCAAAAATCCCCACTCACCAATTCCGTTTGCGACGGAGGTGAAATATCTAGGGGTCACCCTAGATAAAAGACTCACCTGGAACGCCCATATGGCAAAAACTATTAACAAAGCCAGATTTTCCCTCTGGAACCTCAGAAGGGTATGCGGCAAATCATGGGGAATGAACCCCAAACAGATTTACTGGATTTACCAAACAATGGTAAAACCAATGGTCACGTATGGCTCGGTAGTCTGGTGGACTAAAGGTCTGCAGGAAACAGCCAGGGCAAAGCTTGCTGGTCTCCAGCGGCTGGCGTGCCTGGCCATTACAGGGGCGATGTCCTCTACTCCAACGGCAGCGATGGAAAACCTCCTGAACCTCACTCCCCTCCACATTGTCTTGGAGAGGGAAGCCAGGATGGTTTCCTACAGATTCCTGTCATTGGAAAATCAAATCAGAGGGGGGCGACTGCTGGACCACTCCGGGATACTGTGTGAAACAAAAAACCACCAAACTCTAGGAATGGTTTCCGACATGTTGGCCACTCAGACATACGTGAAAAAGTCTTTCAAAGTCCTCTTCCCGAAGAGAGACGAATGGGCAAGCGGATCAGTCCGATTCCCAGAGACCGAACACGTAATGTACACAGATGGTTCTAAAACCCCTCGTGGAGTGGGAGCCGGTGTGTTCAGCAGAAAACCGAAGACGGAAATTTCCGTCAATCTCGGCAAATATGCTACAATCTTTCAGGCGGAGGTATTCGCAATTGTATTGTGTGCTAGAGAGTTGTCGAATAAACCTCTAGTAAACAAAAATATCAGTATTGTATCAGACAGTCAGGCTGCTCTTAAAGCACTGAGCTCCAGCAAGATAAATTCCAAGCTTGTATGGAGCTGCATTGAATCCCTAGAAAGCCTGGGTGCTAACAACAGAGTCACTTTGCTGTGGGTGCCTGGACACCAGGGGGTGGAGGGTAACGAGAAAGCCGACATCCTCGCCAAACAGGGAACCGAATCTGTGTTCATAGGACCAGAACCATATTTTGGGGTCACCGCAAGTGCGGCGAAAACAACTATCTCGGGCTGGGCGGAGGGAAAAACACTCACGTACTGGTCCGAATTACCAGGATTAACCCATTCGAAGGCGTTCCTGCCTAAACCATCGGAAAAAATAACCAGGCAGATCCTAGAATGGAGCAGGGGTAACCTGCGAATTCTGACTGGACTGCTCACGGGACACTGTCGTCTAAGATACCACCTGGGAAGGATGGGTCTGAACCAACAATCGGACTGTCGGTTCTGTTGTGTGGAAGACGAAACGGCTGAACACATATTATGTTCATGCTCTAGCTTAGAAAGACTAAGGTTCGACACATTTGGCTTTACCAACCTAGAACCTATCGATTTCAGACAAATCTCACCCAATTCAACCATGAACTTTGTAAAAAGATGTGGATTGTACGGTGAACTGTAACCTCTAGGGGTGAGCCACAATAGACCCATCTGGGGTCGCAGTGGAGGGGAGGTGTTCGCCCCACTCACATGGAACCTAACCTAACCTACTCGTTACGTTACACCACCGGTAAACGATATACAGAGAAGTGTACAAAGTGCACAAAAAAAGGGCCAGTGCTGTATCTTCTGAATCATTCTAGATCGGATTTCGAAAATTGGTCGGTAGCAAGTATACCAAATTGCTCATTAATTGAAAAACCAATTCTTCTTCAAACACTTCCGGTCTCATCAGAAACGACTCTAACTTTTGATTTTCAATGGGTCACTCTGTATTTTATTCCATAATCGGTTAGGGATTATTATGACGAATTCAACGATACCGGGTTGGATATGGTTAATTCAAACAACTACGAAGATATTCTCGTTCTAAGTTTCCATTTGCTCTATAAGTCGGACAGAGAAAGAAGTTTCGATATTCTGAAGTCACACCCATTGAGCTTATGGAAACTTAGAACTCGAATATCTTCGTAATCGTTTGAAATAACCCTATCAAATTCGGTATCGTTGAATTCGTTATGATAATTCCTAACTGATATGGAATAATATACATTGTGTTCTATTTGAAAATCAAAAGTTAGGGTCGCAATTTGGTATTTAGCTATCCACCAATTTTCAAAATCCGATTTCAAATGATTCAGAAGTTACAGAACTGGCCGTTTATTGTGCACTTCTCTGTATATGAATATATTATACGTATCGATATATTTGAATATATTATATGTATCGATATCTATCGATATCCAATTTTCAATATCGCACAGCCCTACTCGAAACTTTTCATAATAATTGGTCAAAATGGTCTTTGTCCCTATCTTAACTCTTCATGTACTATCAATTGATATTCAATTGAAATAGATACAGGGTGGTCAAAATCCTTAATTCTGAACCACCCTGTATTTATTTCAATTAAAAATCAATTGATAGTGAATGAAATATTAGGAAAGGGACACAAAGTCCGCTTTGACCAATAATGAATAGTTTCGACACAAAAGATTCCTAACGTTGAAAAATCTCTATTTTTCACATCCTATAACTCTGTAATTATTGCTAGACCCCAAGTGTTATTGGTCAACGAAATCAGCTCCCTAGGAAGAATAATATATAGGGTGTCTCATTTGAAAAGTTGTTGCTACTTTTCAATATAAGCGGCGAATTATCCAAGGCATCAACTTTTCATAATAATCCTGAGTTGCGTTCTCCATAAACGTCTAATGTGCCATCCACCGTGAATCACCCTGTATAGCGATAGCATGACTAGATCATCATGCAGTATGCGCCGGCGTTTATTGGAAAAAATTGTATATTGGAATAAATACAAGAAGAAAATTAAAAAAAATCTATAGAAAGGGTTTAATAATTGTACAAAAAACAGAGTGTATACCACGGCCGCGGAATTTTTCAGCAATCTCGAGATTATCCTGCTTCAGCGATAACTGTCGGTACGTTGAAAAGTTATTTCGTGGCTTAGGTATACAAACAACCATTGCTTTCATAACTTATAGTAGGATAAACATTTTTATTGTCATTTTTCCTAAATTGGACAAGTGAAGTGCTCAAAGAAACAAGTGGACCACTGAAATATTTGACAATTTTCAAACTGCCATATATCTCTAAAAAATGAATGGATTTTCAATCGGAATGCAGTGCTTGGAAGATGCAATCTTTCTGTTCAAGATTTCCCGTTCAAAACTCGTCGGGATTTTTTCTGTCATTATACACCAAGTGTTCGAAAAAAGTATTACAAAAATGAGAGAATTCAAACGCTTCCGTATTCCAGGGATTTTTTTTATTTTTCTATGTATCATTTTTTTCGAACGTTCAAGCCAATATCTCGGAACGGTTTTGTAATTTTCCATATTCCTCATACAGGATGTTCAAAATCGATAATTTTTCATATTTAGGTTTTTATCGCATCATTTCCGATTTCAAAATTATGCAAGCCACATTCAACATATTTTGCCACTCTATACGACAGAACACATCCTAGAAAAGGGATTCATATTGCGTTGAAAACATCGAGAACTTCAACAGAAGAGAAATTTTTTTTTGTTCAGAATTTTGTGAAATCGTCTGTTCATTGATTACGTGATTTTTCAGATGAGGCAATCGAAGGGGGCGAGGCCCTTCTGGATTTTTCTGACCAATTCATACGATAACGATGCTACAATGGTTTATAGATATTCCTGCGCTGACAAGTCAAGAAACCTATTTATCACTAGGTTTTTTCGCGAAAACGAAACTCAATCGAATCAGTGGATTTCTTGTGATCAACACTCATTTACGCAATTAATACCACTGCAACACCCAATATAATGCCTCCTGTCGAACCTTTGACAACTGTCATCATCGGATCACAAGAAATCGACTTATTCGATTGATTTTCGATTACGCGATGGAAAACCTAGTAATAAATAAGTTTTCCGTCGACCTCCTATATACGAGTAGGTTTAATGTGAAATCATTCATTAATGACCCCTATTAATGATCAATTTGTCTATCAATGCACGATTGTTTTGTAGGCAACCAAACATACACCGCGTGCATTCATTGTTTATGCTAAAACTTACGGAATCTTCATTTAAATCGAAAATATGGATTTCATCGAAAATTTTCCGTGAACGGGTTCGCCTTTTCAAGTTTCTGAAACGATTTAATCCCTGTTTTCTAACACAAGGAATTCATATTCTATAGTCACGTTCGGTATTCACATCGCAGATTAGAGCAGATTCTAGTCACGTGGTCACAGATAGATCGGAGCGATAGGCAATAAACGAACGAAGTGGACATTTTGTTGACAGTGTGACGGTAACCTAACCTAACCCCATTTATTTATTTCATTTATTTCCATTTCAATATAAGTATACCAGAAATTTTCTTTTTCTTGTTCTTTTTCCAAAAGAATCGCAGCCAGAGTCAAATCTATAAGAAAAAATATAAAAAAAAATAATTTTGAATTTATCATCTAAACACATTAATTAAATGTGTTCACTCACTATTATTTGTGACAATTTCTTCATAATTCTCATCTGACACCATAAAAGTGTGTGTTTTGTCTTGCTCAGAATCAAAAAGTTGTATTTCTTTCATTATGAAAACGTTATTTCGAAAATACGAATACAGACACAACGGTCAGTCATACATAAACATTTGAACATTAACCTCGCTTTGCTCGGTCAAAATTCTCCGAGCATTGAGATCTTTGTCAGATCGCTCCGATTTTAATTGCCGAACGGATGAGATCTACTTCCCCTACATCTAGATGTCATAAACGAACGATTCAGATTCATCGAGGCAGTCTGATGTGAATACCGAACGCGACTTATGTTGATCATTTCGACAAATGTCACTAATGTCAGTAACAAGGCTACTGGGTGATTCTTAGTAGTTTCCAGATGAATGATGAATTCGCGAACCTAGTTTTCTTCTTTGCAGCAGAAATGAGGAATGTAGTCGACGGAAAAATTTTGTAACCAACTCGTATATTAAAAGGCGATTAATGATCTCGAATATTAACGCGCTCGCTTCGCTCGCACGTTAAAATATCTCGAAAATTAATCGCCCTCTTTAATACACTAGTTGGTTAAATAACTATTCTTGACATCATGTCAGCTCAGGAATATCTTAAAACCATTATAGCATCGTTATTGTATGAATTGGTCAGAAAAATCCAGAAGGGCCTCCTTGCGCCACCTTCGATTGCCTTTTCTGAAAAATCACGAAATCAATTCGAGATATTGAGCTGAGCAATCGATCCAAATGAAGGATTTGTGTTTAGCATAGAATATAGTTATGGCAGCACCAAACTGAACAGACGATTTCACCAAATTCTGGACATTTCTCCAAAAAAATTATTTTTTCTTCTGTTGAAGTTGTTGATGATTTCAACGCAATATAAATACATTATCTAGGATGTGTTCCATCGTATAGAGTGGCAAAATGCTTTGAATGTGGCTTGCATAATTTTAAAATCGGAAATGATGCGATAAAAACCTGAAAATGAAAAATTATCGATTTTCAACATCCTGTATGAGGAATATGGAAAATTACAAAACCGTTTCGAGATATTGGCTTGAACGTTCGAAAAAAATGATTAATAGAAAAATAAAAAAAATTCCCTGGAATACGGAAGCGTTTGAATTCTCTCATTTTTGTAATACTTTTTTCGAACACCTGGTGTATAATGACATGAAAACTGCCGACGAGTTTTGAACGAGGAATCTTGAACAGAAAGATCGCATCTTCCAAGCACTGCATACCGATTGAAAATCCATTCATTTTCTAAAAAGATATAGCAGTTTGAAAATTGTCAAATATTCCAGTGGTCCACTTGTATCTTTGAGCACTTTATTTCGAATAATTCACTCTGCCCCACCATTCCCTACATTCCTGTCTTATGCCCATCACAACATCCTGTTTACCTTGGTAACATCAACAGAATCGCAACGTTCAACGATCCTCAGGGCGAGGTCTGCTCATTATTCGTTCTGGAATAAATATCCGTGATCCCTTGGATTATCTTGTTGCATGAGGCCTTGTTCAGGTTCCCACATTTTGCGAGATTCATGCGAACGCTAGTTATATACTGAAAACAAAAGAAAATGACATGGTGTAATGGTTGTCCCATTTTCGATGTCCTTACGGGATATCTCACTCATTTATACAGGGTGTTGCGAAATTCGACCGACAACGATTGACAGGTGGTAGCCCTCGTGATTTCATAATCGCTGAGATAGGGACATACGGTCTTCAAGTGATTAGTTCTCGAGATACAGGGCGTTGAAGTTAAGAAATATAAATAGTTGTTTCGCAATATCTCAAAAAAAATTCAATATATTGCATTCAACTTCGGTATATGGTTTCATCTTTGAATGTGTCATTTTTTGGCCAGGACGGACATTTTATCCAGTGGTGTTCTACAGGGAGTTGTGGCAACTTTTTCTCCCATATTTTCTACGCCACTGATTAAATTTCAATTATTGCCAATTCCACGAATTCATTGTTAAATTTAGTTCAAAAAATGCATCACCTTCAACTGAGCTGATATGAACAGTTTTCGAGATATTCGACCCAAAATAGGAGATTGCATAGTAATATTCCATCATTTTCAGAAGTAGAAACTTGCAAGAATATTTTTCTGGTGTTGAGTAGATCAGATACTATTCAGATATCATTCTGTAGCTAAACAAAAATAGTTATTCCACGCATAAAGAGAAAACAAACATTTTTGTAATTTTCTACTACTGAGGAAGATGAAAAATTACTATGCAAACTTCTGTTTTGGGTCAAATATCTCGATAACTATTCATTTGAGCTCAGTTGTGAAGGTGATGCATTTTTTCAACACAATTGAACAATCAATTCGAGAAATTGGAAATAATCGAAATTTCATCAGTGGCGTAAAAAATATAGGAGGAGAAGTTATCACAACCCTCTGTAGCGCACCCTGGATAAAATTCTCGGAATGTATTTCTGGTTAAAAAATTAACCATTGAAAGATGAAACCATATACCGAATTTGAATGCATTATATTCACTCCTAGTTCCACCGGAAACGACGCCAACTTTTGATTTTTGAATGGTACACCCTGTATTGTATTCCATAATCTGTTGAGGATTATCATGACGACTTCAACGATACCGAGTTTGATAGGGTTATTTCAAACGATTACGAAGATATTTGCGTTCGAAGTTTCCATATGCTCACTGGGTGTGACTTTGCAATATCAAAACTTCTTTCTCTGTCACACTCATTGAGCATATGGGAACTTAGGACACGAATATCTACGTAATCGTTTGAAATAACCCTATCAAACCCGGTATCGATGACATCGTTATAACTATCTCTAACCGATTATGGAATACAATACATCTCTATTGTACCTATTGTCTCATTTGAAAATCGAAAGTTGGGGTCGTTTCCAGTAAAACCGGAAGTGATAGAACAATAATTGTTTCGTCAATTAATGAGCAATTTGGTATACTATAAATCTTGAATAATTCAAAAGTTACAGTCCTGGTCGTTTTTTGTGCACTTCTCTGTATACAGGGTGTCCGATAAGCCATGGATCAAAAGAAGTGGGGTGGTAGGGGAGTCATTCCCAATCAAACTAACCATATATGAGGTTATGCAATTGTTGATGGTTCGAAAGTTACAAATTATTTTTTTTTGCTATAAAACAAATATTTACTATAAAACTATGTGATTTTTTCTTTTTCAAATCATTTTATGACGTGTTACTTCTTATCAATTACCTGAGCAAAATGTTGTTTTCCTTGTGTTTTGTCATTGAATGAAATATTCAAGTTGATTTTTTATTGCCGCTGGCAGATTCAAAAATTACCCTACAAAGATATCAAATTATAAGAAATGTTTTTTTCAAATAGTTCGCACATATACCGATGGTTTGATTGCAAATGACCTCCCATACCATTCCACTTCTTTTGATCCATAACTTATTTGACACCCTGTATAATATATAAGATAGTTTTTGTGAACGTTGGCTACTGTTTTGTAAAACTCACGATATCGTGAACAAAATTTTCATAGTCGGCTTCCTTTTTGGGATACAGGACGGAATTGAAAATGTTGCATTCTGGGACCCCTTCCTGTATCTCTGCTATCTTTCAACTTATAGGAAAAGTAAAAACTGTATTTCATAAATTTTTTTTTGTAGAATCTAGTCGCATAGTCAGATTTTTCGAATGAGCTGTTATCATTTTGACATAATCCAGAGTTATATTTTTTCAACAAAACACTCAGTAGTATTATTTTTCATAATAATTATAACCTTGATGCTCTGCGCTCTTCAGAAATACACTCATACTATATTTTGAGTATTATCCTTGTATTTTGTTAATCTCAAGTTTTTTAGTCTGTGTCACACATTTTCACATATTCACCTTGTTGCTGAGTCAGTGTTTCGTCACACACTAGTTTATTGACTATGAAAACTTTGGGACTAATTAGTAGGTGGCTATGAAAAAAAAGCAAGTGTGGAATGTCACCTGACTACCTGTCGAAGTTTACAAATTTTTCATACGATGGCAAATAATAATCCAGGATGTCGAAGCTACGAAAATATAGAAACTAACTTGTATCCCAAACATATCTAATTTTACGTAGTTTTAATATCTTGAAGTATTATGCGCCATTGTTAGAACAATTTTTAAACTGCGACAGGTAGTGAGGTGACAGGAATTATGAAACATTCTGCAGTTCCTTTTTTTATTGCCAACTACTAATTGGATCCACATCAAAGTCAATAATCAGTGCTGATTATTGGTAAATGTTGAATATTGGTAAAATTGAAACTAGTGTGCGATGAAACACTGTATCAAGGGTGGATATGAAACTTCGTGATATAAAAAAGTTACCGCATCATATTCACCTTGTTGCTGACTCAAAGTTACGTCACACACTAGTTTATTGACTATGAAAACTTTGGGACTAATTAGTAGGTGGCTATGAAAAAAAAGCATGTGCGGAATGTTTTATAATTCTTGTCACCTGACTACCTGTCGAAGTTCACAAATTTTTCATACGATGGCAAATAATAATCCAGGATGTCGAATCTACAAAAATATAGAAACCAACTTGTATCCCAAACATATCCAACTTTACGTAGTTTTCAATATCTTGAAGTATTATTCGCCGTTGTTAGAGACATTTGTAAACCCCGACAGGTAGTCAGGTGACAGGAATTATGAAACATTCTACACTTCCTTTTCTTAATAGCCACCTACTAATTAGATCCACGGCTTTCAAAGTCAATAATTATAGCTTATCATTGGTGAATGTTGAATATTGGTAAAATTTAAACTAGTGATATACAGTGTGTCCCACTTACCATGCTCACCATGGGTATCTTTTTAACGGTGAGAGATACGAGGTCGGTTAAATGACACCAAATGTGGAGTTTGTCAAGGCCAACTATAATGTGAAAAAATATTTTGATAAAATCTATTCGTTTTTGTTTTATACGCAAAAAACAGATTTTGATCATTTTCATCTCACCTCCGTATCTTCTTTATTTATGAAAATATTCAAATATGAATTTCACATTCTTATGGGGGTTTTTGAGGACGGAGATCATGATTTTTTTGTAAAAATTTATAAATCCAAGATGGCGGCTCCCAAATAATTTTTTGTTTTTGTAGAAATGACGATAACTCCGTTGTTATCAACACAAAACTATTACTGCGGCACATCATCTGTAAGAGAAAAAAAAGTTATTTGTAACTAAGTCATAGTGAGCTATGACCTACATTTGAAAAACTAAAGTTGGTGCTGATATCTCAAATTCTAGAAGAGTTGGTATAAATTTCATATTTTTTTCGAAATCACTTTGAAAAACTGCCATGAGAATGTGAAATTCCTATTTGAATATTTTCATAAATAAAGAAGTTACGGAGGAGACATGAAAATGATCAAGATCTGTTTTTTGCGTATAAAACGAATAGATTTTATGGAAATATTTTTTCACATTATAGTTGGCCTTGACAAACTCCACATTTGGTGTCATTTAACCGACCTCGTATCTCTCACCGTTAAAAAGATACCCATGGTGAGCATGGTAAGTGGGACACACTGTATATGGTTGTAAATAATAGTATATTACACACCGAGGTGGGAAGTGATTCATTCATGTCGTGAGATTAAGTAGTTAACCGGACGCAAAACGCCGAGGTTAGCTATGATCTCGAGATGGGAATGAAACTTCCTACCAAGATTTGTATACTATTTTATTTACAACCATCATATTCAGATCAAAATTAATAAACCTCTGTTTCGTTCTGAACAAACCTAAAATATTACATGAGTGAGGGCGGGAAGTAGAGGTGCGTAATGTGACACTTCACCTTCAATGACGTTAGTATTGACAACATTGCATATATGGTTGTAAATAATAGTTATTTAACCAACTATAGTGTATTAATGAGGGCGATTAATGATCGAGATATTTTAACGTGCGAGCGAAGCGAGCGCGTTAATGTTCGAGATCATTAATCGCATTTTAATATAGGAGTTGGTTACAAAATTTTTCCGTCGACTATGTTTCTCATTTCTCCTGCAATGAAGAAAACTTGGTTAGCAAATTCATCATTCATCAGGAAACTACTAAGAATCACCCAGTAGCCTTGTTACTGACATTATAGTGACATTTGACATTTGTCGAAATGATCAACATAGAAAATAAATTCCTTGTGTTAGAAAACAGGGATTAAAATCGTTTCAGAAACTTGGAAAGGCGAACCCGTTAACGGAAAATCTTCGATGAAATCCATATTTTTGATTTAAATGCAGATTCCGTAAGTTATTGCATGAACAATGAATGCACGCAGTGTATGTTTGGTTGCCTATAAAACAATCGTGCATTAAAAGACAAATTGATCATTAATAGGGGTCATTAATGAACGATTTCATAAACATTAAACTTACTCGTTAATACGAGGTCGAAGGAAAAAAAAGTTACCGCATCATATTCACCTTGTTGCTGACTCAGTTTTTCGTTTATTGACTATGAAAACTTTGGGACTAATTAGTAGGTGGCTATGAAAAAAAAGCAAGTGCGGAATGTTTTATAATTCTTGTCACCTGACTAAGTTTAAAAATTTTTCATACGATGGCAAATAATAATCCAGGATGTCGAAGCTACGAAAATATAGAAACCAATTTGTATCCCAAACATATCTAATTTTACGTAGTTTTAATGTTTTGAAGTATTATTCGCCATTGTTAGAGAAATTTGTAAACTCCACAGGTAGTCAGGTGACACTTCCTTTTTTTATAGCCACCTACTAGTTGGATCCACAGCTTTCAAAGTCAATAATTAGTGCTGATTATTGAAAACATTGTGCGATGAAACACTGTGTCAGGAACAACCGCATGTACAGGGCACATCAATGAGACACGTACTAGAAATATGGAAATTATCTAAATAAAAGGCTAATGCTGGAAATATCGTATGTGTTATGATTTTTGAAAAGCACAAAGCATCAATGTTTCGAATATGACAAAACATACAGAGTAATATATTTGAGAGAACATAACTTTGGGTTCTATCTGAATAATAACAGCTCGTTTCAAAAGTCTGACCACTCCACTGGAGAAATCTTCATGGAAACATGTATGTGACAGTTTTTAATTTTCCTGAAAGTTGAAAAGCAATTAAGATACAAAGGGATCTCCAACGTCTGCGACAACCGTAAATCTCTCTTTTGAAATAAGTGAGATATTCCGTACAAGGACATAAAAAATGAGACATCCTGTACAGGGTGTCAATTTTTGCTTGATTTTGGTAGTTTTCATTATTTCCGGAACAGCTAGAGGAAAACAGACCAAGGGGTCTGTCTGCTTGATTTTTGTGAATCATGGATTGGTGAAAACCGCACTTCGATATTTTTAACGTTTTCCGAGATATAGGCGAAATTAGACATTTGCCGGTTTCGAGAAAATGTTTGACGTATCACTTATAAATTATAAATAAATATAAAATATACAGGGTGAGTCATGAGGAACTGTACATACTCCTACCACGAATAGAGGCCCTTGAGGGGAATACCTTATGACCATCAGAAAGTATCTTCTTCCCCTCTTTACCAATACCGGGTGTTTCTCAAAAGTGGCTCACCCCTATAACTTCTTTGTTTATTCAGATAAACAAATGAAATTTGGTGTTTGAGTATAGTATATAAATATGCATCATTTGGACTATTCAATCGTTTTCTGTCACTTCCAGTTTGACCGGAAATGACCCATATTTTCTTATTTTAAATGGGACACCCGGTATATTTTCACTTATTTCGATAGAGAATAACATTGTGAGTACAATGAAACACCATTTGCCACTTTTTAACATCTATCATCCTGAAATTTTCATTTCTCAATTTTCAATCTAGAGAGTCATGAATGAGTTGAAACAGTTGATTTTGAATCATGTTGCCTAGGAAAAATAGTTTCGATGAAGCTTTACTTTCCATTTGTTTCACAGGTTCATTCAAAATTTAGAAAATTGTAATTATGATGTTACCTTAATTTTCTCATCACCATATCTGAAAAGGGTATTTTGTTACATAATCGGTATTGTGAATCAATATCCAGTATCATAATCACTCTAGATTGAAAATTGAAAAATGAAAATTTCATGATGGAAAATATCAAGAAGTGGCAAATAGGGTTTCATTGTACTGACAATGTTATTCTCTATCGAAATAAGTGAAAATATACCGAGTGTCCTATTCAAAATAAGAAAATATGGGTCATTTCCAGTAAAACTAAAAGTGACAGAAAACAATTGAATACGTCAAATAATGCATATTTATCAACTATTCTCACACACCGAATTCAATTTGTTTATTTATAGAAACAAAAATGGTATAGGGATGAGCCACTTTTGAGAAACACACGGTATATAGGGTGAATTATGAGATTTGGCAAAACATCTTTTGGGCATAACTTTTCAACAGCTCCTTTGATTCATCTGATTTTTTCATGGAATATTCCTTTACTGAACTCTAATCGAATCGGGAAAATCCAGAACCGTTGTTGAAAAATTTCAATAGTTTAGTTTTTATCAAAAAGTTCATCCTTTACGGGGTGGCATTGAAATAAGTGCAAATATTTCAAACACTGAGAAAGCTCGACGTGTACCATCGTATGGCACTAATAAGCAAAATTAGGGATCCAAATAAAATTTGAGGTTAGACCCCTTTTTCCACCCAAAGTTCTACACTGTAACAAATCTGACGTCACCTCTGTTCAAATTCCCATGCGGTAGGCACAATCACGCGGATTTCAATCATTTAAATTGTTTTACTTTACTTACTGGTGTACTTGATTTTTTTCTCGTATTTTGTTCAATTTTTCAAATGAAATTTCTCGTTAATTAGGAGAATTAGAAAAAATCTGATATCATGGGAATATTCCTTAGACTGTATCATATCAATGTGCTGAATATGTGCACTTATTTCAAAAACACCTTGTATATGGTTTTTGTGAACTGTGACAGGGAATTTTCAAAGCACACAAACAAACATCAAAAATAAAATACTCAAAATTCTCCTCACACTTTCACAAAATTTTTCAAAAAACGATAAATTATAAGCAAAATAAAATAATTACTAATTTGTTAGACAAACCATTGTTTTCAGAATTTCGATGGTATGAGATTCAAATTGGGCAGGGGTGTAGTATTGGAGAATTGGAAAAATTTTCGATATTTCATACTCTCCTATACATTCCGGTTTCACCGCAAACGACCCCAACTTATGATTTTCATATAGGACAACCTGTATTCTATTCCATAATCGGTTCGAGATTATCATAACGAATTCAACGATACTGTGATTGACAGGGTCATTTCCCGAAATTACGAAGATATTCGCGTTCGAAATGTCCATATGCTCAATGAGTGTGACAGAGAAAGAAGCTTCGATATTGCACCGTCACACCAAATGAGCATATGGAAACCTCAAACGCGAATATCTTTTTCTCTCACATAGCTGCAATGGCATTTAGCGTACGGATATGTACCACGCTAAATGATCAATTAATCACGGATTGTCGATCTGTGATTAATTCAAAATATTGAACACGTTACCATGGCAACACGATTTCTTAAACACATTACCATGGCAACGCAGTTCATTGAACACAGCTTCAGAAATTTGAGACATGTCTGGCCTGCTGTCAATTGTATTAACTGTCAACTGTTATTTTCGAATTTTGTATTAGAATTATTCAAACAATTTACGTTTGTATCATTATTCTTCATCAAAAATGTATGCGAAAAGTAGACGAGAGTGAAATCGAAGAGAATGTTCTGGTACTTGCATATCTCCAAGAAGTGTAAAAATGAAGCATCCATCTTTGAGAACAATTTATTTATTCTGCGCTAAGCATGACAATAAACGTGAAACAAAGGTTAGTAAACAATGGACTGGACACATCTACAACCAATATCACTTATACGTGTCTCGCTGGTTGCATGCAGTCGCATGTATTATGTTCTCAATTCCCATTCCTTTCGAATTATTTTGTAGGTTAGCAGGAATTGCAGGTATGTTAATGTAATTTTCGAAGTTCGTAGAAAAATCATAGTATGTAACGCGTTTATAAACTCTTCTAGACACTCGTTTATTAAACACTCGCTCCGCTCTGCTCCGCTCGTGCTTAAAATACTCGTTACTAAAAGGACATAATATACTATTGTAATCATTTGAAATAATTCTATCAAACCCGCTATCGTTGAATTCGTAACTGATTATGAAATAAAATAAAGACTGCCCCATGCGACCAAAAGTTGGGGTCGTTTACTGTGAAACCGGAAGTGACCGTCATGGCCACCATTTGGCGATACGTCGAATAAATGGTGACGTTAGCTTCAATCGATCAAAAAGATGTAAGAGTCATTGAATAAAACATAATGAAAGGAACCCATGATATTATAGTTCATTAATGACTTTTCCGAGCAACCAGCATGTCCAAATATTTCTTATACTACATAACAAAATATATTCAATTAATATTAGTAGCTGTATAAATCAATAGATTAGGTATAGGGTTTGTGGGGATGCAGCTGATGTGGGACTCAAAAGAAAACTCTTTTTACTTTTGAGAAAGCTTTCGGAATTTATGCATTTTTTACAATTATATACTACTTATTCTGATTTGCAATTCTACAATCTCATATACTAGAGACTGACGAAGGAATTAAATGAATTCCGAAAGCTTTCTCAAAAGTAAAAAGAGTTTTCTTTTGAGTCCCACATCAGCTGCATCCCCACAAACCCTATACCTAACAAAATATATACATATAAATGTTGGAGACTTGGCAACATTGTGCTGAATGCAGAGAAGGGACAAGACCACGCCCACAACTCGTGCGCGCCGTGTTGTCACGTTCACCACAACAAATGTCCTCTAGTGTGAATAAATATAATTACTATTTACACAAATGTATTATAAGCAATAAGCTTACCAATACATAATTGATAATTTATGAATGTTGGAATAACTAATATTTTTGATGTTCCTTATCGTGTTTTAACACATGGCAACTGTGCTATGGTCTGTCCCTACTCACGAAATCGTGACGTCAGTTTTTACTCGCGGTAAATTTCTATCCGTTTGAAAATTACCGTGGCATTATTGATGATTCTAGCACCTAAAAATCGATCAAAAAATCCTGAAAAAATATGAAATTGAAATGTATTTGGGTGATGATTCTATTTAAGAAATAAAAAAAATTAGTCCACTCGCCTTTTCTTGAATCTAACCCCTGCCAAGTTTCAACATCATACCTTCAGAACTATGGAAACTATGGCTTGTCTAATGAATACATTGACACCCGGTATACCCCTACCTAAAAAACTAGTTTGCTTCAACAAATAAGTAATCTCTTACCTTTTCCAGGAAAGTAATTGATGAGTCTTGAAAATAAGGCTGGCCAAGCTTCATCATGTCATCCTTGTTGGTCATCAAAATCCATTTCAGGACTTTGTGAAAATCTGACAAAAAATCTTCGAGGTCAAAATTGCCCAATTCAATATCGACCTTGAAATTGAAAAAAATCAATGATTATACAGCTCGTTAGTGACTGAAGGAAACAATTTCAGAACACTGCTCGTTAGAAATTATTTCTTTCCAAATACTTTCTTCAATACTACGGCACTATCAGGATTCTTAGGGGTGGTAATTAGTTTCGCAAATTTTTTAAGCGAGATGACTGATTAATTATTTTCGTTTTGTAACTCTTGTGAAAATTTCGCTTTAGTTCCGAAGGAAAGAATGTTTTTTAAATAAATATTCGTAGAAAAAGTTTGATAAAATTGTAATACGAAATTAGTTGGCAATGGAAACAAAGGAATTGACATTTGTGTTGATGAAGGTGGGCGTTATATTAAACATTAATTTAATAAAAAACATACTGCCTCTGTTTCCACTGTCAACTACATTTTTTAATAATTATTATATAATTATATTTTAATGATATCACACTTTAACTATGAATATCTGTTAGCATTATTTAAGAAAACATATTTTTCCTTCAGAACTATGCGGAAGGCGACATTTTCACTAGAATAACAAAATGAAGATAATTAATCAGTCATCTCGCTCAAAAAATACCAGAACCCTATCACCACCCCTAAGAATGTTCTGAAAAAAATGTCAGGGGGTGAGGAGGGTTTCAACCCTTCCACAATTTTGAGTTTCTTTGATAACCAAAAGAAGGGCATTGCTCTAAAATGTACTTTTGTCATACTTCATCCAATTTGTTTCACTCATTTTCGAACAGCGAACAAAAATGTGTTTTTCTATGTAAACTTTGAACTCATCTCACGGTACATTTGGTTATATAAATAAATTGGGTCCAATAAACTTATTTCGACCTGTATTACACGTGGCAGCAATGTGTCCCAGCAATTTTGGGACACCCGGTATTCAAATCAGAAAATGATCGATGTGAAATTTGAAGTTTTTAACTGGTACGTTGTTGTACTTATAGTGACAATTAGACCTGCATTGCTAAGGAAAGCTTTTGAACTAATTAAATATATGTCAAATTATTTATGTGATTTGATTTAAAAATTGCGAACTTACTGGTTGTTTAATAGTATACAAAATCGCGTAGGTACCTATTTAAGATTCATGGAATGGAAGACGAAAAAGACAATTATTTCTAGGAGACGATGTCAATGGCTTATTTTTTAGAAATGGTATAATAATACTCAATTTTATAAAAAGTGAAATTTTGTCACATGTCAACAGAGATGAAATGTCAAACTTTTTTCACGTCACAGAAAAATAGTTATTTATGTATTAAGGGAATTATGAGGGCCTTAATTACCGATGGCAAAGTTTGCGTCCCGAGGGCCTCTGGCCCGAGGGACAGCAATTGCCTGAGGTTATTGAGGCTCAGTAATTCCCGTGATACATAGATAATTTTATTTCTGACTGATTTCATTCATTAGATACCTTCCCGATTGGAAGTTAGACATTTTTTTCCGTATAGTTTCAATGTCATCAGAACGTCAGATGATGATCTTGACTACCGCGAATAGGAGATTCCTTATTGCTACGTTACTGCGTGGTTGTTGCTATGCATTTCTTATTTAATTTTAGTTAGAGGGAATTATAGCATCTATAACATCCCAAGGGAGTTATGACCCTCATAATAGATATCGTAACTATGACGATATAAGCTTATAATGTCACTGTCAGAAATAAATATAATTATGACCCAGTGACCAAGATTGTATCCCGAGGCTTCAACCTCAAGGATATAAGGTCCCGTGGTAATTCTTTTTCTTCGACCACTACAAAAAATTACATTTCACTTACTAATTTCCGAACGCAAAATCGACCATTCCCAAAAGCAAGTACTTTTCGTTCGCAGATCTGATGTTGTGTCAAATCAACTATTTTCGAAATCCGACTGATTTCATGTGTGAGTAGTGTTCGAGTTCAACGAAATAATTTAATATGCACCTCGGCGAAAAACTGTCCATTGTATCGCATGATTGCTAGCCTCGGCTAGGCTTCGGATATCAATTTGCGACTATAATAGACAGTTTTTCGTCTATGTTACATGAATAACTATTAATATCAAGGTGCATATCATATTTTTTCCACCACTAGCAGTGTATTTCAATGACTATAATCTTGATTATATATACTATAATTTTGATAAGCAATTGAAATCACGAAAGATATGACCGACTGCACTTTGGAACGGATCCCACTATGTCTAGCGAGCGCATGGGATTTTGTTTTTAAATTGACAGTGTGTTGATGATCGCACCATTCATATTGTGCCCTGGGCTCACATTCTTTCCGCAGGTCATCTTTTACGAGCCAGACTATATCAGAGACCACATCTTTTAGAAAAATGAGCAAAATAAATCTTACTTTTAATTAGTTACTCTCGAGTTTTCAATCAACATGGGATGCACTGTTTCTTCCATGGTCACACCACGACATAATGGTAAGTCAACCAAATAAAGAAATGTATCAAATCGCAAAAAGTGGTATACTTGCAATTAAGTAATGTCCCATATGAAATGTGAATGTGAAAGTTGTAGATTACCAACTCATCAAGAATTTACAAAAAGGTCGACATCAAAATGTAATTCTTGAAACGTTTAAAATTTCCATTGGGGTACTCATTTATTAAATGTATGTATCTTACTACCGTTTGTACCATATGAGTCGATTAAACTTTGTAACTTTTTGTAAATGCTTGATGAGTAAGTAATCTACGACTTTTATAATAACATTTCATGTAGATAGACCATTACTTGCAGATGAAGTAGTCTGTTAATGGCTTAGGGGCCGAAGGCACGCGATTTGATAACAAAATATTTACACGAACCACAAATGTCTTCATTCGATTGATCAGTTAATACGTTATGCACCTTGTATAAATCTTCACCAGAATCTTTGATTATTTACCCTAACAAGATGATCCACCTCCTTGTAAAATATTGAAGCCAAATTTGGCCTTAGTTCTTGACTGGTTAGTAGGTGGCACTAGCGAAACTCAGCAAATATGTCTATACTCACGGAATCTGCTCGAGTCCATCTTTTTGCAAGATGCTGAACTATCTAGGAATATCATTTTTTCTGAAGCAGGAATATCCTTCCTTCTGAAGCAGGAATAGTATATTACACACCGAGGTGGGAAGTCATTCATTCCTGTCGTGAGATTAGTTAGTTAACCGAGACGCAAAGCGTCGAGGTTAGCTATAATTTCGAGACAGGAATGAAACTTCCTACCGAGGTTTGTATACTATTTTATTTACAACCATCATATTTCGATTAAAATTAATGAATCTATGTTTCGTCTGAACATACCTGAATTATAAGATGAGTGAGGGCGCGAAGTGAGGGCGGGAAGTAGAGGTGTGTAATGTGACACTTCCCAACCTTCAATGTCGTTAGTTGTTCCGGTCCCATTAAATATTTTTGTTTTTTTTTGCTCCTATAGATATAAAGTGAAATTTATGCAAATCGTGAATTTTATTTTTCAAAATGTTAGCGCGAATGCAATGACAACATTGGTCTTGTGCTCATAAACGTGGATACACGAGGGACAGGAAGCTCTCTCTCGATCGCGACGGCAAGATCTCAAATTTTCATCGTGATATTCTCGATTGACAATTTCATGTCGTTTCTTATAAAGTGACCGCAGTGTACTTAATAGTTTTCAACTGTTTATAATCGCACCCGGTATAATACCCAGTGACCGGAGTCCAGGACGGCCGTCCAAGAAGCAACCGGAAAAGGTGACCCTCGAGGTAGCCATATACAAGAAGCTGAAGGTGAGCGAAATAATAACTGATCTTGTCATTGCCGATTTTTCTACAATCAATTTTACTATAATCTCGCCCATTAGTAATGACAATATTACATATTATGGTTGTGAATAAAATTACAAACTTTGATATTCTAAAGGCTTTCAAATGATGAAAACAATTTAATAAATACATCTAAAAGTAAAGTTGAAATATATTCTGCAGTACCCTCCACTACTCAACTAATAGTAGATTGTTTTATTAGGATCAAAAGTGACACTTTGTTTGACAAGCGAATTTTGCATTTGCGAGGCGGAGCGTTTAGCGAAGCCGAGCGAAAGCAAAATTTGCGAGTCGAACAAAGTCACTTTTGATCCGAATGAAACATGCTATTTTTTCTGCAACCGAAACAATTAACTCAAAACATGTGAAGTAACCACCAATGCCGTGGCATATGTATGCAATGCAACAAATATTGACAAATAATCCATGTGGTGGGAATATTCCACCTGCATTAACAGCAGGTTAGGTTTTCTAGGATGTTCGAATTGTAGTTTAAATATAAATACAACCACAGAGTGACATATTTGTGTATGGACCAGGTGCTCTAATGGCAAATACCGCGCCAGTACCAGCTATAGGAACAAGACGTGGAAAATGTTAGGTTAGTGAGCATATCGACAATGATAATAGTGATTATTTATTCCTCTCCATACTACACTGTGTTTGACTTGATAATCAAATGAAGCTAAACAATATCGTTGTTTGAGACAAAAAAACTATTGCTTGCCGTGATTATTCAAAAACAAGTTATCCATCCCGAGAATAACGAATGCAATACAGATCACGCAAGTATTTGAACCTTGAAGGCTTTCCTGATCAAAACAAAAATACTTAACTGAGATGTTTATAATTTCAATAGTAAACTATATAAAATCAGGTATGCGTCTTAACCCAAATAACCAACCGTCACAATGTTGTTTATTCTTGATGACGTCCAGTGGATCCTTTTTAGTACCTGGGAGCTAAAGTTGAACTTTAGCTCCTAGGAACTAAAATTCAACTTTAGCTCCTAGGAACTAAATATGTTGCCTAGCAACATACCTATTTTTGTGTCAGTAATAGAAACGTCAATTTAAGAGCTAATTTTGGTATCAAAATGTACGACTTTTGTGTCGGTTGCAGAAAAAAGTAGTTCACCTTGTCGCTCAAAGATACCGCCACGTACTGAATAGATATTTTGGCTTTGTCGCTCTCATGAGGAGGGTTCATCATTTTAGTGTGAATAATCAAGGCCATAATGGTCAATTGCAAAGCTAGTGAGGGAAAAATAGTAGTTCAAAAAACTAAAGAAACACCCTTTTATAGGTAGCCAAATTAAAAAGAAGTAGAAAATATAATGTACTGATTATACGGAGGTGCTGATATTTCCTTTGTTGTGTATTTATCAACACAGTTTTATTATTTTATTTTCTACTTCTTTTTAGTTTGACTATCTATGAAAGGGCGTTTGTTTGGTTTTTCAAACTACTATTTATTTTATATTTTTTGTTCAACTAACTACAAAAGCGTGTTCCTTAGTGTTCTTATATTTTTTGTGAGTACCCAATTTTGTCGTGAGAATCATAATCTCCGACCTCGTTTGGATCATATAATTACAATACTCGTCCACTATATTGGAACCACCATCTTGAATTTTCCGATTTTGACGAAAGAATCATAATCTCCAACCTTGAAAACCCCCAATTACAAATATTTAGTAGAATCGGATCATATTTACAAAACTCGTCCGCGATATTAAATCCGCCACCTTGAATTTAAATTTTGACTAACAAATCATAATGTCCGATCCCAAAATCCCAGATACAAATTTTGAATAGAATGCATAGATGACAAGACAAGGAAATGAGACAGCTCATAAATGATTTTCATATGTTACCCACAGGAGGTCATGCGGGAATAATGCGAATGTATAATAATATAAGGAAATATTATTTCTGATCAGGCATAAAAAATTATGTTGAAATGTTCGTGAAGCATTGTGATGACTGTCAAAGATATAAACAATCAAAGACAAATAAGGAGCCATTGACAGTCACCACTACAGCTAAAAGTGCTTTCAGCAAAGTTTATCTCGATCTGGTAGGTCCTTTGAACCAAGGAACAGAATTTTTAGCGGCTACTCTACAGCAAACTTGTAAACTCTTAGGAATTACTTCATTAAAGTCAACAGCGTATCATCATGGAACATTAGGGGATACAAACATTTAGGGGCATATTTACGAATATAAGTTGCAAATAATCCAAATAATTGGAGTACATGGGGCCTTTTTGGTGTTTTTCATTCAACAACGCAGTTCATACAGAGACTCAATACACGCCCTGCGAACTTGTTTTTGGAAAATACAGAAAAAATCAGATGATTTGCCCTAAAATGTCACTGCGTTTAAAGAATTTTCTATCAGAGAGCCTAAAAGAAAAATTCACTAGCTTGTCAGTGACAATTTGTATTGAAAAATTTTTGGAGAAGAGAAATAAAGGTATATAGAAAAAATATCAAATTTTCACTTATCTTTGGACGTATATTGAAATAATATTCATATTTTCATTTTATAGAAACGAGGAGAGAAAATCCCAAAAAATTTGGAATAATGAATATACCACCTCCTCGATTAACCTACAGACAGTATTCATTAGGATAAGTTTTTTTTCTCCTTCTCAGGGGAGGTGTAGTATGTAAGACAATATAGGGTGAGGTTATATTGTTAAGGTTACTAGGTATAATAGGTTAAGCGAGGACAACGCACCGTGAAGGTTGTTAACAGTGTTGTTATCAAGACGCACGGTGTATTCATAATATTAGGTTGTTTAGGTTTAGGGAACGCTCCTATGTCATGATTGATTGTATATGTGTATCTTGTACCAGCAATAAAGACGAAACTGGTTCTAAATTGAATTGAACTGATTACTAGAGCGTCTGCCACCATACATTCCAAGCCGAGTTCCAAGCCGTTATTAAACCTGGTATAGGAATAATCATTCACTATTACAAAATAACGATCATCGGTACCCACCTTGAACTTGTAGGGTACGAACTGGTCCTCGAAGCGCACCTTCCTGTCGACCATGAAGCACCGCATCGGCGACGCTATCAGCGCCCCGTTCGAACTGAAAGGCGACAGAATGACGGCGACGCACGGCTTGTGCTGGCCCAGCCATTGCTGCACCGACCGTTGGGTGTCGAGGTCCTGTTGCGAGGGTTCCGGTGCGAACGTCGGGTGCGAATGGAACCAACCGACGATGTCCAGGCCTGGAACACGAGCATCTAGCTATACCGTTTCTCCTAGAGTCACTGGATGGTATTAGTTAGATAAGAGTTCGGACACAGAAATGACAACGGTTAGGGTTTTTGAATGTTTAGATTTATTAAGTTTCACACCTTGCATTGTGACAAGAGCACCATAGTCGTCCCGCGCTTTTTCATTCAAAATTGTTTGAATTTGACAATACATTTTATAAACGTCAGAATTGAAATTCATAATTATACATTCAAGATAAAAGCAGCTATGGAAATCACTTGCTGTGTAATAAATTGTGCCAATTCTGAAAAGAATGGATATCATTTATTCAATTTTCCGAAACAAATATCAACCATTCGCTTATGGAAGGAAGATATGAAATGGCCTGGGTGCAAAATCAGTTTGAACACGAGCGAAATTTGTGAGGTACTCATTAAAATTCACTTTTTATAACAGCATCTGATTAGAATGAAACTATATTTTAGGCCCATCTTCAAACAGAAGATTTCAAAATCTGTTTGTGAGAATCTGCTGTTCCATCAATTTACAAAGCAAGCGATTTCGAGAACAAAATTCCATTATTATCACCACACAAAATACAAAACGAAATGATCATGGAAAAGAGGAAATTATCGCAAAATTACATGATAAAATTGAGAATTTGAAAACGAAACTAAGAAAAGCAAGTAAACTACAGAGTGATATATTATTGAATGGCGTTTTTGGTGCCGACCAAATTTGAAATTCAACAGTGGAAAGTGAATAGTTATTTATGTATCAAAGGAATTATTATAAGGGCCTTAATTACGCTGGAGGTTAATGTTTTGGAGATATTTTCTATATCGATCCATGTTACTTATTAGCTCCTAGGGCGCTAAAAGTGGAGTTGCTGAGAACTTTACAAAACCAAGTATTTGGTAGGTCTGGTCAAAATAAACTACTTTTTTCCTATCAAATGTTTATCGAAAAATGATTTGTTCTCTGTATTTCAGCACTCTGTATCTACGAAATGAAGCATTTCCGGACACAAAAGCTTATATAGACTTTATTTCTTATAATTGTCTCAGGAATACTTCCCTTGAAAGTACTTTTGTTACTTCCTGTATATTGAGAATATCTACCTTTAATTTAATATTAATAACTTCATGTTTTATACTCATCACTGGAGTACAGTTTCACATATAATAAGGAATTATAGCCATAAGTTTATCCATATGTGTATATTTTCTAATATTAAAATGTTGTTACATGCATTCTTTTCATTTATATAACAGTTGTTCTGTTAAAAGTGTATCAGTATAAATTGAAGTGGGTGTTTGTACCCTATACCCATTGTCCATCTACGGCTATGATTGATTTGACAGAAAATATAACCTCTGAAATCGTATCTGACAATCAGGCACTACTAGGGAAATTGAAAAGACAAAGAGCAGAATATATGTATTATTCTTTTATTCACCTAAACCATTGTATTATAGAAAATAGAAAAGGACAAAAGTTCAGCTGTGTCCGAACTCTTATCAAACTTATACCAGCCAGTGACTTTAGTTTCTCCTAGAGTGTTGGATTTCAATAGAAATATCCAAAAGGTGAATTAAAGAAGTGACGGCACTGCTTGGTGTTTATGAATATGTTTTGTTTGTTTTGGTTCCGTATGCTAAACTGTCGGAAGGCTCACTGTTCAGATATCTATCAATAAAGCAAGTAGTTCGAACCGTCTGACGTTGTTTTCATTAAGTACCTATCGAAATGTCCCACTAACTATAATAGGTCATGGTGCCCATAGGTACACTCATATCAAGTTAAAATCATGGTAGTGTTATACTAGTGCGAAAACTATAAACATACCTATTACTATAGAGGTATTATAGAGATAAATTGTTCAACTATATCTTGGTATAGTTGAATCAGGAATTCCATATGGAAATTACGTATGATACGCCAATGACCTCAATATAACCTAAAAAACAAATGTAAAAAATCGGATAGGTATTTTAAACCGATACCACTCGATACATCTAGAAATCTCAGAGTAGCTACTCCTTTGATTTATTTCCACTACGTGTGACCAATATTTTTGAAAAAAAATTGTTTGCCTGTATGTAACTGTGGTAAATTATTTCATCGGTAATGGAAAGGGTTCGATCTCTTCACTACATATTGTATGTGAAGTTCTTCCATAATCACGAGATTTTTGGAAAAAAATATATTTTCAGCCTATGTAACATTCTTCCATATCGTTAGTGACGAAAAAAAATAGCACCTGTATACAAAATATCTCCTCCCCCCCCGTATAATTCCATTATCAACATTAGTTATAGATAAATAATTTTTTGTTCGGAAATTAATCGGTTTGCAGCATGATTCAACTTATTAGTCATTCATTCGGGACCAGGTGGTGAATCAAGACAGTCTTATATTAGATATCATCACGAACGGTCGAATTTTGTGATCGACATCGGAAAATACGCGAAAGGAATTATTTATCGTTCCAAACTGAGTGTTCCCTAAAAACTGAGTGATCGCATTGATTCGTATATAGTGTTTTTGTCTAGTGTTTCGTGTTGTTTCATCAAAGCCTCACTTTTTCACGCTGGTGAGTGCTGATAAATTCTCTCAATTTTTCCTCATATTTCTCTGTATTCATTTAATTTCATTACCCTATACAGGGTATGTCACGATGAGCTTACACTATCTTTAAATCGAGAATCAGTCGGGAGAAATCCATGAAAATGTACAGGGTATCCCAATTTGGGCACTTTTGCGGGGTATCTCCCTTATCAGTAAAGATAGATTGGATTCTACGAGAAAAACTCTATAAAAACAAGTTTTAACTTCTTCGATAAGTTCAAAGATAACTGAGACTGAAAAGTGATATTTTTCAATTCCACCCTGTATCTCGACAACCGGAAGAGCTATCACAATTCTGCTTGCGCCATTATTAATTTCATAAAAAAGTAGCACACTGTCGCGAAAACCGCAATGCTCTATCTTTACTGATAAGGGAGATACCCCGCAAAAGTGCCCAAATTGGGATACCCTGTACATGCTTATATTTTGGTATAAGTTCTTTTCATTCAAGATATGTTCGACAATGCAGTGTTGCCGCTTCTACTAGAAAGTAGTACCAACATTAATATTTCGAACGGAACACCCTGTATTTTATCGCATTTTAAGATTCTCCTTGAAAAGCTGATTTCATCGATGTATCATACTTGGGGTTTATCGAAAATGATTACGGAGATATAGGGTGTTCAAAATCGATATTTTTCAACTTTACGATTTTTTTTGTGTCGAAAATATTCATTATCGGTCAAAACGGCTCACATGTCCCTATCTCAAGTTTTGTATCACTATTTACTGATATTTAATCGGAACAGATACAGGGTGGTTCAAGTTCAGAATTCTGATCACATGCATATTTTCATGGATTTCTCCCGACTGATTCTCGATATAGAGATAGTGTAAGCTCGTCGTGACATACCCTGTATGTTCCGTACCGTTTGTTATATTTTCTCCGATTGAGGAATACTTTCTTCTGATTTTCTTGCTTCCTGTTCGAAGTGTATTTTTTTAGAATTTACCATCTTCAATAACTGTGATACAGAACGTAATCTTGATTTTGGCAAAATCTTAATCTATGGTCAGGTCATAACTTTTGAACCACTGTGTATAATCGATTCATACTTGGTGGGTATATTCAACTGATATTTATCATCAAAACTAAATATGAATCGAATTTAGAATCAAGATCCGTCTTCAGGCAAAACAAAAAACTTCTTTTTTTTAACAGTGCGCATCCAATTTGGAAAATAGAATTTTTATTGAACTCGTTATTCAAAAATCCCAATTTTATTACAAAAAAACATAAACCAGTCCTCAAATTTCAACTTAATTAGAGCCGAATTAGGTAAACTATCGATGGATTTCGTTCCATAGAACAATTTGTCAATTATTTTAGATATTGTCGAGTGCTCATTACATTTTCACACACACAAATTAATTGAGTATTTTACACTCTTGAATTTTTGTACGTAGATTCATATTCCGAAATCATTTATTTTAGTTTTGTCAGTAATTTTATATACATATATATTATACGTGTCCGAAGTTTTTGTGATTGTTGAACACCGGAGTTCTTTCATTTCATTTATTTTTATATCTATCCATTTTGATTATTTTGTATACAGGGTGGAGACCTAAAGTGGAATAAATTCGCTAGCAGGGAGGTGAATATTTTTTTTGAAAATTCCCGAGATACGTCAACGTTTTTATAAATTTACCTATATTTTGCAAGCATTATGAAGAATATAGGCCTTCAGGGGAAGCTGAAACTACCCTCAACATGTTTTTTTCAAATGCAACCCTATGGCTTGTGACCCCTCATTGGAAAGCTGATGAAAAGAGGAATCCAGCATACTGATCAAATTTTATTTTTTCTTATGTTTGAGGGTTGCATAATATCAAAACTAAATAATGAAGTTGAATTTATTTTCAGCGTAACAATTGCTCAAAATGTGTACCATTCACTTGTTGGCAGCATCCCAGTCTGTGGTAGGTCTCGTTCCTTACATTATGCAACATTTCCGGTGTTATTTTTCTGATTTCCTCTCTTATCCTTTCCTGTAGGTCTGCTATGTTGTTTGGTTTTTGAATGTAAACCTTACTTTTGAGATGTCCCCACAAAAAGAAATCTAGCGGTGTAAGATCTGGTGACCTTGCTGGCCACTCCATGGTACCTCGCCTTCCAATCCACTTACCGGGAAAAATTCTGTCCAGATATTGACGAACAATAGCAGCGTAGTGTGGCGGGGCCCCATCTTGCTGAAACCATAGCCTCTCGTCGGTCAAGTTAGGGTTCAAGGGATTTGGAAATAAATGACATAGAACTGGCATTAGTTCGTTCTGAAGAAAATGCAAGTATCTTGCTCCATTGATAGTGTCATCGAAGAAAAATGGTCCCACAATTGTATCTTTGATTATTCCGGCCCATACATTAGTTTTCTGTGGG